CACCCAGTGAGATGAACCCGGCACCTTCAGTTGAAAACGCAGAAATCACTCCGCCTTCCGTGTCGCTTCACGCTGGGAGCTGAGGCTGGAGTTTTTCCTCTTCGCCATCTTCTAGATAAGCCAAGATAAATATCTGATTCTACGTTAGATGACAGGGAGTTTTGGTACAGAGTTGTGGTTAGTAATGGCTTTTTTCCTTCCTTTTCATTCATACATTGCTACATTCTTAATTCAGCGTCTTACATTTAGAGCTGGGTTTGAATCTTATGAAAATGCATACCTATTTTTGTAATACAGTCCAAGAGGAAAATAGGCTTATACATAGATATTCACGAAAGCACGTGAATGGGTAAATCATAAACTTCATTTTTATGAGGTCAGCACTTAAGCCTCTTGTGGTTATTGGATCTAGAGAAGCTAGATACTCTAGCATTTCTAAAGGTTTATGAGTGATGGTGACTAGTGGGAGATTATGGTGGTAAATTTTATAAATTAGGATCTCATATTTAACATTACAATGAAGCAACTGAAAGAAAGTCTTTGGAATCATTCCTTCCTTCCTTCCTTCCTTCCTTCCTTCCTTCCTTCCTTCCTTCCTTCCTTCCTTCCTTCCGTCCTTCCTTCCTTCCTTCCTTCCTTCTCTCTTTCTCCCTTTCTCCCTTTCTCCCTTTCTTTCTCACTGTCACCCAGATGTGAGTGCAGTGGCATGATCTTGGCTCACTGCAACCTCTGCCTCCCGGGTTCAAGTGATTCTTGTGCCTCAGCCTCCTGAGTAGCTGGGATTACAAGCGTGCACCATCACGCCTGGGTGATTTTTGTATTTTTAGTAAAGATGGGTTTCACCATGTTCGCCAGGCTAATCTTGAACTCCTGACCTCAAGTGATCTGCCCGCCTCGGCCTCCCAGTGTTGGGATTACAGGTGTGAGCCATCATGCCTGGCCTGGAATATTCCTGTTTCTATTTCTCTTAACCAAGGGAATAGAAGGATAGCTCTCCTATGACCTGGCCAGGAGTTTGAAATAATTCTGTGAAGGCATGGAGAAAATGTCTCTGCCTTCTACCAGAAGTCTTTGTCTCTTTGTCTACGTATGCAAGAAAAGATCTGTCTGCTCTTCTTCCCTTTTGATACCTATATCAGAAGTCAAGATTAACTCAGAAATCTCAAGGCAGTCCATAGCCCCAAAGTCAGGATGAAAAAGATTTGCCTCGAAACTACTATAGGAAAAAGTGAGTAAAGTGATTTGTGGGCCTGGATTGATTGAAAAGAGCAGGGGTCCCACAGTCCTTTGCCTGCTGTGATTCTTTCAATAGTTTCCATAGTTTACAGAACATGTTGATTTTTATGGCTTTAACCCTGAGATTTTTTAGATGGCATAAGCCTCAGATTCAAAAAGAGCTCTGATTCCTGATTGCTTTACTCAGACAGGCCTTTTAGCAGCTGTAATCTGGGTCCCAATCATCCGCAGGTGCAATGCATTGTTAGAATCTCACCTTCGGTGGGCCTTTCAAGCCTGCCTTCAACCCTCAAACAACAGCTTCTGGAGTAACCTGCTGTCTCCATGTGCACACGTCTTCCCCAGCACAGTTGCAGTGAATAAAGTTGAATTGTTGCTGGAATGACTGTTTGCCAGATGACACTGTTGAATGTGCTATAGTAGTCAAATGTCACATCTGGAAGGCCCAGTGCTCACAGCTGGGCTAAACGCCAGACACCAGCACCACACATTCATTCTACATGTATTTACTGAGTACCTGCTATGAGCCAGGGGTTGAAGCTCCAGTTTGTTATCTGACTGCCACTCTGCTTTCCAAGCTACCTATTGGTTTCCTTGATTTTGGCACCTTTTGGTCAATTAGAGAATTGATAGTAAGAATTCCAGGCAGTTTTCAGTCCCAGGGTTGTTGAGAGGATTACCACCAATGCAGAATGCCCCAGCTGCCCTAAAAATATAGACAGTAGAGTTAATGCACCCCAGTTGAAAGCATTATTATTTCAAAGTGCAGGGTGGGAGACTTGAGCTCTAGTCCTGGCTGTCATTGTGTTATCTTGGGCCTGGCCTTATGTTGGCCTCAATCTCCTCATCTGCTAAATGAGTGGAGTGGATTAGACAGTGTTTAAGGGCCCTTGCAGCTCTGACATTCTTGGATTAGACTGTAAGCATTTGGAACGTGTTTAGCAATTCTAATTAGGCAATTTTGTAAACTAGTCTGTTTTGGTTCAGTTAAGTAAGGAAGAACACCTTTTCTTTTTTCCTTGGCGGAGAAAATTGGACAGTACTTCGTTCCTGTCACTATAAAACAACTAAATATTCAAAAGAACTAAAAACAATCATACGTAAACAGAAAGTTAAAATGACTGCACTATCTTAGCACACTTTCCTTCACTTGGTAAGAGTTCTATTTTAATCTGTCACTTCCAATATAATGGCAGCATGTTTTAGTCTATGTAGGCAAATTAGCTACAGTGATTTTGAAAGCACTTATGATTCTTATATGGCAATTGCAAATGCCCTAGGTAGAATCCAGTCAGGGCTGTCTCCGAGGACATTGGCTCTTAGTGAGCTTAAAGGCCCCACATGTTTAGTGGTGGCAACATGCCACAGGTGGCTCATGATGAATTCAATCATTTTTGAGCCCATGACAAAAAGAACTGTGACTTAGAGATTTATGGGTCCAGGAGCTCCTTTCTCTACCACAGAGAAGACCAATCACAGGAGTCCTGAGGCCAGTTTCCCATTGGTGCCTTTGTAAGGGGTGGTCTCTATGGAAACAAGGCCAGAGCATCTTACTTTTACCAATTTTGAAGTGCTGAGGCTACAGACCTTTGGTCATTCAAATTTGAAGCAACATGTTTAATGCATGAATTAGCATCATCCTTAAATCTGAGGCAGACAATTATAGTGTCTCTTCTCTCTTCCCCTCCTTTAGTCAACAAAAGCAGAACCAATTTCCTTTCATTTGTTCCTAAAATCTAAACTCCAGGCATTATTCTTATTTAAGTATGGCCTTCTTTCATGATACTCAATACAAGACTAATTGCTACTCTGGGATAAACATGAATTCGGATTCAGCTAACAATTATTGAGCAACTACTGTCTAGTAGTGTAACAGGCACTCACAAAGCAATGTATATACATTATACATTATTTAACTATATATATAAAATCTGAATTGCAATTTAATGAACACTGTTGGTATTTGGCACACAACAATTACTCCTTGAATATTTGTTGAATGAAGACATAAAAATAACATAAAATCACAGACTAACAAAATTGCAAGGGATTTTGGAGAGCATCCTGTCAAAGTCTTTATACAAGTGGAGAAATCGAATTTCCAAATGGAGAGTGATTTATTGAAGGCCATACTCACAGCTAGTTAGACCCAATTCTGTCTCAGGTGGATTCAGACCACTTTCCTCTCTGGAACACAGCTCACACTGCCTTATATGAAAGCTGGATAACAGAGCATCAAATCTCTGCTGTGTTATATTGCATTTGAAAACATTTTTCAGAGTGTTTTGTTGAATGTAGTATTTGGGATACCTCTCCATGAATGATTTAACAAGAAACGCCTCAAGAAATGTATTTATTTATTTAATTAATTATTTTATTTCTGAGACAGAATCTCACTCTGTCACCCAGGATGGAGTGCACTGGTGCGATCTCGGCTCACTGCAACCTCCCCCACCCCCCGCCCCCCAGGCTCAAGTGATTCTCCTGCCTTGGCCTCCCCAGTAGCTGGGATTACAGGCACAAATTACCACGCCCAGTTAATTGTTCTACTTTTAGTAGATACAGGGTTTCACCGTGTTGGCCAGGCTGGCCTGAAACTCCTGACCTCAGGTGATCCACCCACCTTGGCCTTCCAAAGTGCTGGGATTATAGGCATGAGCCACTGGACCAAGCCAAGAAATTTAAAAATATGTTTATTTATACTTATATGCGAAGACAAAAATATATTGACTAAAAGAACTAAAGGAATTAGCAAGAGTGAGGCCTGGCTGGGGATGGGGGGGGGCAAGAGAAGGCAGCAGCTTGGCGGGGTCGAAGTGATTTTGTCAGTAGTCCTATGCATCATCAAATACAGGGTGGCTGAATCACATCAATGGGATTCACGAAAAGCCAAGGTATGAACCAGAACACCAGTTTATTAATTCACGAAGGGAAACATATGTCTGTTGGTCAGCAACTCTCTAGAAAATTCAAGATAGAAGGATTAACTATAATCAAAATGTTCCACAGTGAACATGAAACCAGAAGAGGACAACTTAGTTGGCTGATTGGAATGACTTATGTCTTTGAGCCTGCTGCACCCTTCTCCACTTCAGGGGCATGCCAGTTAAAGGAGACATGTTACTTATGTCCTCTGGTCTAGGCAACTTCAACTTCTTTCTTGACTCTGAACACTGCTGAAGACACGCTGTTGAATTCTTCCTCAAAGTCTCTACTAGTTGTAGACTGCAAATGAGCTGTTCTCTTCTTTCTGTTAGCATTATTATTATTAATTTTTAGAAAGAGTACAATATATCTGTGTCAATGTCAGCTTTTTTTCCATAACCATACAAGCTCTTAGAATGACTTATTGCTTCCATTATATATATGTGTGTGTGTGTGTATATAAAATAACTCTCTGAAAGAAACTTTTCCCCCAAAATTTTCAGGCACGTTGCTTCATCCCTATGCTCTGAAAAGCAAGTCTCCACTATGAAAGCAAGTCTGATAGACATGTATAACTGCGTACAGAAGTATAACAGAATGATGCTCCCCATCTCTCCTTTAATGACTGTGGAGGGTAAAAGGGAGAGAGGGAGTAAGAAAGATAAAAACTGATTTGGGGATTGGGATTTGGAAAAGGTAGAAGATTTAGGAATAGGATAGAGGAAAAGGAGTAGTGTATTTGATGAGTTTTAGCCTCTCAGCTACTCCTGTGTTCTTTCTTCATGAATGTGGTACTGGTCTTGTGATAGAGTAGACCAAAGATCCTGTACTGTATACAGAACTAATAAACATTGATGTTCTGGTTGGAGAAGCAAAGAAGATCGGGAAGATGGAATGCTGCTAAGGAGGGAAAATCAGATGAGTTAGTTGCCATAGTGGAGAACCATAGTATCTGAGGGACAGAGTGGAGCATTTCACTTCACAATTTTGTCAAGGGCTGGGCCCTTAGAAATGGCTATAATTTCCTAGCACATTATATTCCTCTAGTGATTCCATTTTCTAATCAATTTGCTCAGGTAAAACATGAAATTTTCCCTGTAAAGAGAAAAAGCAATAATCATAGAATGTATATATTCAAATATAATGAGATGGGAAAGTGATTAGTGAGAGGCCCTGTTAATTTTCAGTGCCAATCAATTAACCTTGGAAATCCATCTTTCATTAAGTGAGCTTTGTTTTTTCCTTAATCCAGTTGACATACCGGGATACCTTGGTATATATTCCATATTTGCCTTTCATTGCACACTCTTCACCCCAGCTAATAATTCCAGTTAAGAAACTGGTCCCTTCCACTTCAGTAACATGGGGTCCCCCACTATCTCCTTGACATGAATCTCTACCTCCTTCATGGAAGCCAGCACAGAACATGTTGTTATAGATGGTGAACTTTGTAGATCGAAGACATGTGGCTCGGTCAACAAGTGGAACTCTAAGGTACTGAAGAACTGAAGCTGATCTTCCTTTGTTGAAGACTCTTCCCCAGCCACTCACATAGCCAGATCCAAATTTGAGGAAGATGTTCGTGTATTCCTTGTCAGCAATGCAAATAGGTGTAACATAGCTGTTTAGCACTAAGGGTTCATCCAGTTCCAGAAGGGCAATGTCATGGTTGTACTTATTAATAGTTGCATTGTAGTTGTGATGAGGAATAATTCGAATCACATTTCGCTTTTGCTCTGTATGTTCTGTCTCCTCAATGTTATGTTCACCTATTAAAAATAAATTTCATTTTAAGTCACAAACAGTATTTCACATACACAGATTTTCTAAGGGTCTACTCGGGATCACTGACCTAATTGACAATGTCAGAGATCTCATTCTTCTTTTGTGATAATTTTGGTTAAATGTAATGAGAGCCAATGCATATTTTTCAGACCAAAAAGCCATTCAGTACTATCATAGAGATGGTTCTGTTCACTCATGCTATTATAAGCTTTTCATTGATGATAATGAAACCACTAGTCATGAATTATCCTAGATTTTCCAAATTTCAAGTATTCTGACCCCTTTTTTGAGCACAAATTCATTTGGCCATTAATTCAAATGTTTGTTTTCTAAGAACCTGCTACAGGTTGTGCCAAGCACCAGAGACAAAAGGATCAGTGACATGATACTGGTTTTTGGGAAGACTTTCTGGTAGGGAAATGACTACATCAATAACTAATTGCACCTCACTGAAAGGAGTGATAATATGGGTACATCAAAAGAACTACGGAGGGTTGGAGGATGGTGCAACTTGGGTTCTGAAATTATGACCCTTCTGCCTTTAGCCCAATTTATTCAGCAACAATTTTATTAGACTTTAGTAAAATATGGTATACAAATCATATTAAAGAGCTAGTGGTGCTGCAGATTATTATTCTTTATTTACCTGCGACAACTGTAATTTTAGCATCAGTTTCAACACAGTGGGCAGCAGTTACAACCCATTTTTCATTAACGATAGAGCCTCCACAGAATGCATCAACTTTACCATTCAAAACGACCTGTGAAAACAAAATTAAGACTCTTACTGCATAATATATTTGATCTAGAAAAAAAAAATATGCGTGCTGGTTACAGGAATAGGCAAAATATTGGCTTCTAGGTACTGGCAGAAATGGAGTTTCTGGAAATGTGAGCTTTGCAGATGAATTAGTGTTTCCGGTGCATAAACAAAAAAGCCATTTATGTAACTGCATTGAAAGCAACACATAGAGACAAGGAAGCTTAAGCTGAGGCAAATCTGAGGAATGGCTTCTTTTGGTGATTTGAGGTTCTTGGATTTTTTTTCCCCATGAGTCAGTTTCTCTGATGGCAAAATTTGCTTCATGGGGATACAGCAGGTACAGTAGGAAACACACTGACTTGACTCCTTGAGATTAATAGTTATTAGGGTGTTCCCTGTGCCTACATGATGAAATTGTTTTGCTACATGTTACTTGAAAAAGAAAAACTACTGATTTTTCTAGGAGGTCTTTTCAAACCCTTTCCAAACTGGAATATTATGAAACAAGACCTAAGGCCTCCATAAGGACTGTGCTTATAGCCATGCAGGCAGTGAGGAATAGCAGGGCTCATTCATTCTTTCCACTCTCTCTTAACCATACTCTACTCCCCTCTGGCTGGATGGTAAGCTGCCTTTGTCCTAAAATATCAACTTAGCTGTGGTTGAATTTTGGGCAAAGTGGACAAAGGAGTGACGCATTGAGCCTGAGTATTGTTAGATAAGAGGCCAGTCCATCATTTCAACTGGATATTCGTTGCATAATTACAGTGGACAGTGAATATTTTCTCCATCTCAATGTCTAGATCGACTTGGAGGATTTCAGTTCCAGTTGTAAGCAAGTGCCTTGATCCACCTTTACAGGAAGAAAGCTGGGAAGTGTGAACACTAGAGGGCACACTCAACATTTGGTAAATCCTTTTCAGGCGCTGACTAGTTCTGAACGACTGCCCTTGTATTAAAGTGCACGCAGTCTTAGGCATAAACCCATTCATAAACAAGGGAAAGGAGGTGGTCCATCACTTTAAGTGGATATCAGATGGTCCTTGGGGCATGTTCTTTTTGTCCTGAATTTAATTTACAGAACGCCTACTGTGTCCTGGACACTGAAGCACTAGCCTCCTACCTGGAGACCTAAGGGCTGAGTCATTAAAGGGCTCTGACTTCCTTTTTCATACTCTGGCTCTCCTGCTCTTATCTTTTTTTTTTTTTTTTTTTTTTTTTTTTTTTTTTTTTTTTTTTTTAAAGACGGAGTCTCGTTCTGTCACCAGGCTGGAGTGCAGTGATGAGATCTCAGCTTACTGCAACCTCTGCCTCCCAGGTTCAAGCAATTCTCCTGCCTCAGTCTCCCGAGTAGCTGGGACTACAGGTGCATGCCACCACGCCCAGTTAATTTTTGTATTTTTAGTAGAGACGGGGTTTCACCATGTTGGCCAAGATGGTCTCGATCTCTTGACTTCGTGATTCGCCCGCCTTGGCCTCCCAAAGCGCTGGGAGGCATGAGCCACTGTGCCTGGCCATCTCCCTCTTCTCCTAGCTGTTGCTTTTTATTCTGAAATGTTGTAAAAATACAGAAAAAACTACATAATATAAAAAACATCAGTGTGCATACAACCCAGACTTAACAATTTTCCTAATTTTTTTGAACATTTATTTGAGGGTTTACTTTGGGTTAATCATTGTGGGGTTTATAGACATTTAATACAACATAATATCCTTATGATGTGATATTAATATATTTATAGATGCATGAACTAAAGTTTAGAGAGAAACGCTAACTCCCCTGAGGTCAGTTGGTAAAGCTAGGAAGCAAACTCAAGTCTGCCCGGCTCCAGAATTTGTGCTCCTAAGCACCCAATTTCAGTCCAGGCATGGTCTGTGGACCAGTTGCAGTAGAATCATCTGAGGGCTAATCATCCTTATAAAATCATCCTTATAAAATGCAGATCTGGGGGCTAATCCAAGCTTAATTTACCAGAATATTTGGTGGGTGGGACTGGGTAAAATGAAGCCCTCCAGAATATTCTTTACATAATTAAGTTTGAGACCTGGTATATATCTACTGAATCAGAATTTCCAAGACTTGATAATCTTTATGTTTTAAAAGTCCTCACTCCAAGCAGGAATGGCTACATACTTTGTGGGGCTCAGTGAGAAATAAAAATGTGGCGCTCCTTGTTCAAAAGCTAGGAAGAAAGGTGCCATTGAAGATACTAAAATACAAAACTTTTTTCTTTCCTCTGTAGTCTCTTTTGCAACCCACCATGTTACATTTTTTAAATTCACCATTTAATATTTTGCTCCCTCTAGCATGGGGATATTTGCTGGGGCAGTGCAGACCCTAAAAGGTATCCAGGAAGTGCACCCTACAATTTAACACCCACATGTCCTTAGGATCCCCTGCCTGCCAGCCACAGGATGCTGGATCCCAGCAGGGGAGGGCGTGTTAATCTTCCCTTGTCACTGGCCTACTGTGCCAATCAAGGTGGAGACGTGATTCCCAAGGGACTCAACTTTCCTGCCAGGATGTGTTCCATGCCTGAAATGGAGGTGGACAAGGGGTGTGCCCCCACCTTTCACCCTCCAAATGTGCTGTGGCACATTCTTGGTCCAGAGATGCCACATGGCCAAGCAACCTTCCAAGACAGCATAGGGCATGTGCACCTGACCAACCTTAACTCTCCCTGTACCTATGCCCATGTCCCCACCGGGGGAGAGGAGTGGCAGTGGTAGCTGGGTAGGGATGAGGAGGGAGAGTATGTCTGGGCACCATGGGGTGGCAGTGGTCATTGGGCAGGTGTTTGGAGGGAGAGCCAGGGCTGGCTAAGGCACCAGGTGGTAGGGGAGTGGGGGGTCGAGCAATCACCCTGGGAGGTGGTGAGAAGTGGGGTTGCAGGGTTTCAGGTCCCTAGGTAGCCCATGCTCTGGCTGGCTCATCAGACTTCAGTTACAAAACAAAAATGCAAAGCAGTAAACCCCAGACGCATGATCTGTCTGAGTGCAAAGCCCTGTGTAAGTACGCTGGTCATAAGACCATGTGTCTGGCTGTAACTCCAATTGATTTTCAGCATCAATAAAACTTGGCCAACACTGTTATATACTGGTCATGATAGTTACAACTGAACATATCTGTTTAAGCAATTGGAATTAAGAATTAACATGCAATGATATCATGGTGCTTCTCCTCTGGCTAGTGTATTAGTGGGGAAATTGAACATCTCTCAGTCCAGTAGGCTAGTTAGGCCAGGATGAATGACATCCACAGCCCCTGGGCAGAGAGATTATGATGTAGCTGACAAAGACTTGTTTCCTGGAGCTTCTACTACTTTCTGGTGGATGGCTAAGAAATACGGTTGTGTTCTTTTAAGTCTGAAGAGCATTATTTTTGCCAACCCCTGACCAAACATCCTTGCCAAGGAAAAGGCCTAAAATATATTTGCATTTAAAGATATTACAAACTACTTGGTTTTGGAATGTTTGGTCATTCAGGATCATAGCTATGAAAATATTAGCTATTTGGGGTATGAGATGTCTGCTCGGTCAAGGAAAAGTTCTTTTTAAGAACTTTTTAAGACATCATTTTGGGGAATAATGGGGAAAATGGGAAGGCATATGCTCTGAGTAAGGCATCTGAGTTATAATCTGTCAAACATTTTTGTTAGTCATAGTCTAATGGGAGCCTGTTTTCCCTCTTTCAGACACACATATATACACACACCAACCACACACATGCTTCTACAAAATACACATTCACATCTGAATCTGTGCTCTTCATTGATGATGCCAGCCCAGAACAACAGCTCTTACCCTTTTGTTCTCTTCCTGACCTTTAACTCCATCGTAACCATTCCCTGTGATTTCAGCAAAACCATTATTCTCCCTACCTACCCACCCAAGCTTTACAATAAAGAGTGTTTGCTCTCACTCATATACAAAGCAAATTCATTTGTCTGTGATGTACAGCTTGCTATGCCCACAGATGTGGCTTGCCTAGTCCTTTGCTCTAGGTCATTTGGCTGGGAACAGATGGGATGCTCACTTTGGTTTTTAATGGTTAACTAGTCATTGAAGTGCATTTCATCAAATAATCTTAGAGGATAATTGTTTAAATGTCTGTCCAGATTAGCTTTGTAGAGCCAGGTGAGGTTACATATGTCACGTTCTTATTTCTCTTAATTGAATTTTTATCATCTGAGATAGGAATAATAGAGGGCTACCTTTTTCAAGTGAAGATATTGCTATAGTCTTAAGACCTTAGTGCAACATCCTGGCCCCTAAGGAAAAACAAGTTCTGATTCATACATATAATAACTTTGCATGCTATCTGCCACTGGGATGTGTCCTAATCCAACAGAAAGGATTGAATCTCTGTAGCTAGCTGTACAGGGTAGCTTCAGACCAAAGCTGAGGGAAGTGGAGACAGGGGAAACTGCTAAGACATTTTAAAGATTTTTTTTTAGGTCAAAAATAGAATAAGAAATAGACCGTTTCCCTGGACATTTTCTGTAGGTTCATACGGTTAACCATCGGTAAATGCATATGCTACAACTTAATATGAGCATAAGGAAAGCTTAATCACTTGGCTTCCATTGTATTCTTTTTTTTTTTAATCTGATAGAATCATCTTCAAATTGTTAAATATTTGAAGACTGTATGCCACACACCGAACTGAGGCCTATGGTAAAACAGAAAATGGAAAAACCAGGTACTTCATATAAAGGTCCAAATAGTTCTTTGGAAACGTGGCAGGGATTTTGGGGGCCAGTTTGCACATGCCTAGAATTGTCGGCTGGCAGGGTCATGGCCATGGGATCCAAACCAAATTAAACCTTTTTGCTTCTTCAAATCTCTCGCTTTTGAGTTGTTGATGAAAGCTATCTAGTAATACAGGCGTTACAGTTTCCCTTTTTTCACTAATGTTCAAAGGCTTTCATTTTTTCCCTACGTAGCGGTATGCAATTCAAGATTTGTTTTAGCTTACTACACCTCTAGACATATACTTACTCTAAAAAAAACTCATTTCTGTTCCTGTGTAGTGCCTTTAACCCTCTAGCTTCCTCTTTCTACTCCTGAAGTATTTCTTCAGAGACCCTGCTTCCTTTCCCGAGTTCTCAAGGAGCTCTGAGCCCATCGCTGGGCATCTGGAGGGAAACTGAAGTACCTCCTTCCATTGGCCTCACGCGGTTCCTATCTTAGACCTTCTAATCTCGCGCGACTTTAGAAGTTGGCCCGCCCGCCAGTGCCTTTGGCTTTAGGAGGTAGTAAAGAGAATGGGGCCGGCAGCGCCGTTCCGGAACCGTAGGGGGGCGCTCCTGGGAAGCTACCGTCGCGAGCAAGGCGCGGCTGCGTTGGCCCTTGGCTCCAGCCTGGCAAGCTGAGGTGAAAGCCCTGGAATAAGGTAAGAAAGGAGCGCGACCGCAGACGGGATACGTGCTAGGTGAACATGGCTCTGTAGGGTCTCAAAGCCGGACAGGATCCCAGCGGTCCCTTAGCCTGCTCTGATCTCTCGCCAGGTGAACAAATGACCTCTCCCTGAATGGGGCTATCCAGCCGCTGCTGTCCCCAGTGACAGAACAGCTCTTTAAGTCAACAATTCCGACAAACATTTGTTCAATCAACATTTGCTCCTAACGCGGCCCAACCTACGCAACCAACCAACAGTGGTTGTTGGTTGAGAAGGGCTTTCTTAATGGAGGTCAGAATCTTCCTGCCCGCTTGCAACTTTCACCCTTAAGTCCACAAAGAAGTTGTCTTCCCCTTTCCCTTGTGGCTCTTGCAAACAGCTCACCTTTTCTTTAACAGACTAAACATTTCTAGTTTGTTCAATCTGTTCGTTACTCCAGATGAAAGTGAACTATATTGTTCTTTGTGAGATTTCTTCACCAAGTGATCGCTTTATTTCTCACCCTGGCTAATTTGAAAGATAAAAGAAACCACTCTGAAGAGAAAGGTTCTTATGAAGCATCAGCATTTTGAAACACTCTTTTCTAGGTGACACTGCTAAATAGTATTTCATATTTCAAAGCTAGATATATAATGTTTTCACCACTGAAGCCCCAGCTGTTGCTTGCTTTCTCTTGATGCCTTAGTCACAGCAGGTTTGCTGCAGTCTGACCTGCAATCAAATCTAGTATTTCCTCCTGCAGATTAACCATGACATGGTGGAGGTGGCCCATCCACAAATGAGGAGAGATTCTGGTTTGTTTCATTTTGTCTAGAAATGACTTTTATACACTCAATTTATCTCGTATTTTTGAAAACCAGTAACCTTTCATAAGGAACTAGATGGAGGTGGTGTGGAGGAAGCAATGCAGAAGTATGACGGGGTCTTTCACAACTATTCTGGAAAGTAGCTCAGCTTCTTGCCTTTGGAAGAGAATAAAAGTTAGTGCTTTGAATCTGTCCAGGTCAGTAATCTTAGTTCATATGGGTGAAATAGGGAGTGAACATATGTGCACGTGCATGTGTGCACATGCATGTATGAGTGGTCTTGAACATTCCAAATGATCTTAGCTAGGCTTGAGAGCAAAAAGACAACAGGGACAATAACTAAGTGTGCAGTGAGAAGGTCATGACATAATTTGAAATGATGTGTATCATTTATATCTTCTCCCTCCCAGAACAACCACAACCACCATTTCATAGTCTTTTCTGCTTGAAAAGAAAATAAAGTGTCTGCTTGAGTTACTAAACTTTCTTTCAGGAAAGATCTGCATTGTTAACACATTGGCAAACATCTGGTTTAAAGAGGGTGGGTGAGAAAGTGAAATTATGTGACTGAACTGAGCCTTTATACCCTGTTCCCCTTTTTAGTTCTGATTTAAATGTATTTGCCATTTCATTTCTGGAATGACAAGGAGACAATGCTAAACTCACAAAGCATACATTTTTTTTTTTAATCTTGGACTTTTAAAAACGGAAGTTATCTTCTTAGCTAATATATTTTCCGGGGTTCTTGGGTCCCCCACGGTAAGCACTGTTCTATGTCTCAAAAACCCAAGGAAGATAATTGTCATAAAGTAGGATCTTTTTTTGTAACCATGTTATCCATGGAAGTTGGACACATAATGAATGAAAATACATGAGAACGCAAATGACAAAATTAGAGAGAATTAGATACATGGATATTAAATACATTGAAGGCATAATAAGAGTGCTTGCACTCAAGAGGGGTTGTTCCAGGAAAGGTTCATAAAGAAGGTCAATATTACGGAATTGTGAAGAAGAGCAAAGATATGGATGAGTGAAGGAAGGGGTTATGGTGGGTAAGGGAAGCAGCCCTCATAGGATGCATTTAAGTAGAAACAGAGGAGGTAAAAAGGAACGTACAGTGTCCCATTTATGGGCTATAAGATCAGGTCCAGCAAATATTGTCTTTTTAAAAAGCAAAGGTAAAAGAAAGGGAAAACCTTGCTTGTGATGTTCTGCCACTCTTTGATACCATTCTCCACAATGCTTGTGCAATTATACCTACTGCCCCGTCCCCAGGTATATGTGTAATACTTTACATCCATTATGTTGGAAAATGGCAGGCATTCTCAAGAATCCTGAATAGATACACAGCTAGTCCCAGAAAAATTCCAGTGCTGTTAAAACTCAGGACATTTACCTGATTCTGGCTTAAATTGTTACCAGTTTGATCATTGCAGTCTTTAAAATTATCAGTCTCTAATGGCAGAGATTCAAACCTCAGTAGAGAAATCCGTGAAATTACTACCAAATCATGACTGTGGCAACTAGGGAGTTTTAAGTTAGACTAAACGATTATAAGTGCTATCCAATAGAAATTTCCGCAGTAATACCATGTTCTATCTCCACTTGCACTCTGCAATACAGTAGTTAGTACCCACATGTGGCTTTTATGCACTTAAAATTTGGCAGGTGCAATTGAGGAACTGAATTTTTAATTTCACTTAATTGTAGGTAATTTAAATTTAAATAGCCATATATGGCTAGTGGTTACCTATTGGACAGCACAACTTTATATAAGGACCATCCTGGCTTCCTGCCTGGGGAGGGGGGCCAAAGAGGTGGGTTATTCCTTCTCACAGATGGAATCTCTTAGGCTTTAGCTGTAGGCTAAGTTACAACCCAGATTTTGCTACAAATGTAGCTCGTGGTTGTTAAATGAAAAATGTGCATAGGTAATTCTACATATGTAGGTTGTTTGCAGACCACACTTGGAGAAATGTCTGCAGAGCACACTGGAAGGACTAGGTAAAAGAAGTCCATTATTTGGTGTTTTGAACCCTGGCTTCTGTAACAAGTTCATTTCCTTTGGGCCAGTGTTTTTGTTTTTCCGTTTTTTTGAGATAGGGTCTTACTCTGTCACCCAGGCTGAAGTGCTGTGGTGTGATCATGTTTGACTGCAGCCTCAACTTTCCAGGATCAGGTGATTCTCCCACCTCAGCCTCCTGAATAGCTGGGAGCACAGGTGGGAGTCATCACACCTACCTAATTTTTACATATATTTTTTTATAGAGATAGAGTTTCACCATGGTGCCCAGGCTGGTCTCAAACTCCTGGGCTTAAGCGATTCTCCCGTCTCAGTCTCCCAAAGTTCTGGGATTACTGGCATAAGCCACTGCACCTGGCCTAGTTTTCGAACTATAAAGTGCATCAAAATCACCTGTAGTGCTTGTTTGCACACAGATTGCTGGGCCCCACCCCCTAGATATTCTGATTTGGTAGGTCTAGGGTGGGGGTAGGAGAATTTGCATTTCCATATTCCCAGGTGATTCTGATGCTACCACGAGAACTATAGCTGTAGACCAAGACACTCTCTGACGCTGTTTCTTGGAACCTAGTTCTTGCCTTAATCCTTCCTCCTTGAGTCCCTTTCTTTACCCCCTTTTAAATAATCAAATTTTTCTTGGCCTAAAGACTTTCCAACTCTCACCAGTTTTTGCAAGGGCTGAGGCTGAAGTAGTACCCTGTGACCTTTCTTCCAGATTTCATGTCGTTGACCAGTTGCCTGTCTGGAATCATGCTATGCATTTCCTTAATGCCAAATTCTTCCTGACCTGTAGAGTAGCTGATTTGGGCCTCTCTTTCACCAGCTGCTCATCCCTGGCGGCTTTCTCACATTGGTTAGTGCTGAAACTTACCTAAATACTTCTCACATCCCAATAGGGCTGTCTAATAAAATAATCTCAGTCTCCCACTTGGCCTGTGTCTTGCCAGCTGAGTTCCAGTTTTGACACACCATCAGTATAAAGTACCTGCCAAGGGAATTGACCTGGTTTGGCATCTTCTCCACCAACAACCCGAGTGAAGTCATTAAATGATTGGGTGCTTTGAGTGATGTTATCCAAAATGGTTTCAGCTTCAGTAGAATTTACATATTCCACATCAGGAAAAACAGTCTCAGCACGGGTGAGCGTAGAAGTTTGTGAAACAGAAACTCTTCCACATGGAAATGGCACTAGAAAAACAGAAGAAAAATTAGTAATCTGATATTTCTCATTGGCAAATGGAACATGTATTACAAAAATTGAGATTGAGGCCCATCCTTGTCACTTCTGAGAAGCAGGCCTATCAGTATTTAAAAAAATCTAATCAGTGAATAGAATCTCAAGCTAAAAGGCTGATTGCATTATTTTCATGGACAGTTTTCAAATCCTTCATGAAAAGAACACTTGGCTCTGGAATTCATCATCTTTACGGAAATAGAATAGGTGTTCCAGAATCAAATTTGGTAAGACTTTTATAGAGTCTAATGACTTTCTGTTTAGTTTTTTTACTAAAAGTCTTACTCCCAGTTGCCATCCCTGAATGGAAGTCTGATGATTGACGCTTTGTAACTTTAACTTTCTAATTTGGTAAATGGGACTTCTGCTGCTTATCATTAAGAAGGTTTCTTTTGCAGACTAAAATGCCTTCTAGATTCCAAGGTGCATTTTACATATTTTCTGGGGAGAGATCATTGTGATTCAATTACCTGGGTTTCAAATATTAGCCAAAGAGATTGCTAATGTAATTATCACAGTCATATTCACCAGCACCTGCCCACCATTTTTCCTTGGGTTCGTTTATTTTCTGAAGAAAAATAATGTATTGATACACTGGGGACTACCAGAATGGGAATTTGTAGTCAAACAAAGTCACTTCAGATTTCATTTTCATTTCTCACTTTCCTTCAAGCCACATTCCTTGTAACAGACATTTCTATAGCAACCAGCTGCGACAAAGTATCGTGAAGACAGCAAGTGGTTGAGAAACCAGGAAATTAGTTCAAAATACTTATGTATAAATGTACACGATCAACAATGGCTACAGAAAAGGGACCATTATCGTTGAAAAGGCAGAAAAGCTTATTTTAAGTTTGGCCTACTTGTTCTGCTAAAGCTAAGGCTATATTCAAATATAACACTTAATAGTTGGAGGTGGTTCTCAATTCTGTTTCTCTTTTATAGCATAGAAGAGCTTGTAAGGGTTTAGCTACTATGCCATCTGTCTATACTGGAAGTTAGGTTTTTAAGGTTAAAATATACACACACAGACACACACCCACACACATATTCATGCTCCTCTCAAGGTAGACTAGCTTTGAGACAGCATATGTGAAGAACCAGGCAGAAGGACAAGTGGGCAGGCCCCGAAGCCTTAGAGATTCTTCATTTTAGTTGCAGGATATATATTCCTGCCTTCTGGTTTATTGGGAATAGGCCTCCAAATCTGGCCATAAACTGGCCCCAAAACTGGCCATAAACAAAATCTCTGCAGCACTGTGACATGCTAGTGATGGCCTTGACGCCCACGCTGGAAGGTTGTAGGTTTACCAGAATGACAGCAAGGAACACCTGGCCCACCCAGGGTGGAAAACTACTGAAAGGTGTTCTTAAACCACAAACAATAGCATGAGTGATCTGTGCCTTAAAGACACATTTCTGCTGCAGTTAACTAGCCAGACCCATCCCTTTATTTCCCATAAGGAATAGTTTTAGTAAGTCTTATGACCAACTTGCTGTCAATAAATATGCGGGTAGATCTCTGTTCAGGGCTCGTAACTCTGAAGGCTGTGAGACCCCTGATTTCCCACTCCATACTCTATTTCTGTGTGCGTGTCTTTAATTCCTCTAGTGCCACTGGGTTAGGGTCTCCCCGACCAAGCTGGTCTCGCACTGGTTCTTTCTTTAATTTCCTCTGCCTGGTATAGTGCTGAGATAGGTACTGGAACCAGTTACAGAGAAATGGTGCACGATTTAATGTACCAATTTAATAAGCTATTAGGCTTTAGAAATGCAAAAGAAATTATATCTAGTTTGCTTCAATAAAAGCCCCTCATTTATCAAATATAATTGACCCTGAAGAGCCTAAATTTTTCAAAACATAAAAGTGTCTACTGCTTTCATCTTTAGATAAGAGCCATACGAACATGGAGTGTTCTGAATACACTAATCAGCTGTTAAAATGGTGGCATGGTTGATATGACTGGGAAACATTGCTTTGTTCACAGCCATATAGATTGTGCTGACCAGCCTAGCAGAACTTAAAACAGTTCATTGCCGGAATCATTCTGACACCAAGTGTGTAAACTCAGCTTCAGACCCAACAATAAAAAACCACTTTCTCAGAGTAAACTAGCCAGCCCAGATGGAATCGTGCTTCAGACTTACTGTCCTTGTACTAGAAGCCTATCCACTCAATTATTTGTGTCTATTTTATGATATAGTATTACTACATTGATTTGACTTGATGAATTACAAATATATATGCAGAAATCACACAAATTAATTGCTTTGTGATATAAATGTTAGAGAAAAAATTGGACAAATTGGACACAGAAAAGAATTCAGGTTGTAGATGATTACATAGTTTAAAATATGATGCAATCTAGAAAATTAATTGGTCTAATTCAAGCTACTGATCTTTTCTATGATTTCAAAAGGAAGCAGATTCAAGTAGGAATTAAAATTATGTAGGTTTGTTAAAATGTTGAAGGCTCAGATACAGATTTTCTTTAAAAACTCTTATTTGGATTATGACCTGCTGGTTCACAGGACTTCTGGTTCTCTGCAAGTCGATATCCCTCGGTACAGGAGCAAACCACCTTGTTATCAGCAGTATTTTTACAAAACTGCTTGCATCTGCCATTCTTAATGTTACATGTTACATCTAAAAGAAGCAAAATAGACAGTAACAGCATAATTTAACACGCATTTCTAAAAAGTACATGGAAATATTGACTCGTGTATGGGTCAAATATATGTTGGGGGCATTCATGTTGCCCCCAATGTACATTGGGGAGAGAAATTTTGGAGCCTTGAACTAAGAGTGGAAAGAAAGGTAAAATAAACTTCTCAATAAGGCATAAAAATGGTGGTAGCACTATAATGGATTGGTTTAAAACTAACTGTTTGGATATTCTACTTTCACTAAATCATGGACTACAGGTTTAAAAACCCTATTTATTAATGTATAACATACATTCAAAAAATACACAAAATTTTAGTATAAGTTTTCACGAAGTAAATGAGCCTATTTAAACACTAAACTGACCAATACATAGCACATTATCAATACCCCAGAAGATGCCCCCTCCCAATCATTCCGCCCTTTTTCCTTTTTATAGGTTACCATCACCTGGACTTCTAACACAGTAAACAGTTCTTGCCAGCTCTTGAACTATAAACAGAAGTTCACAATATGTACTCGTCTGCGTCTTTCATTTAACATTTTGTCTATGAGATTAATCCATGTTTTGTGTAGCAGTATACATTGCTGTGTAGTATTCCATTGTATTACTATTACAGCTTTTATTTATTCGTTCTACTGTTAATGGATATTTGGTTTGTTTCCAGTTTTTGGCTGTTATGTATAATAGTGTAATGAACATTCTTGTATGTATCTTTTGGTGACATAAACATGCCTTTTTACTGGCTTATAATTATGAGTGAAATTACTGGATCAGATGTTCAGATCTAGTAGATACTGCCAAGCAATTTTCTAAAATGATTGTACGAACTTAAATTCCCACCATCACTGTATGGGGTTCAGTTATTAGGTGTCTGTATTGCAGATATCTTGTCTCAGCCTGTGACTGGTCTTTTCAGTCGAGGTAGTGTCTTTTGCTGAACAGGAGTTCTTAGTTTTAATATAGTCCAGTTTATCAATCTTTTCCTTTATGGTGATCACTTTTTGTATTTTAAGAAATTTTTACTTTCTGCAAGTTATGAATATAAAATGTTATTGTTTTATACTTCATGCCATATGAATATCTAATTGACCTATCACTTTTTATTGAAAACATCAACAATTCCCTTCTCTACTGCACTGGCACCTCTATCATAAATCAAGCCTCTATATAAGTACAGGTGTGCTTCTGAGCACTCTATTGTGTTTCACTCATCTATTTGTCTATCCTTGTGTCAGTACCACACTGTCTTAATAAATGTAACTTGATAATAAGTCTTGACATCTAGTAGTGTAAGTAGTACAAGTTTATTCTTCCTCAAAACTGTCTTGGCTATACTTGGGTCTTTGTATTTCCATATGCATTTTAGAATTAGCTTATGAATCCTGCCCGACCTCCCCCCACCAAAAAAAGCCTGCTGGGCACTTTGGTATTGCATTGAATCCATTAGTAAATATTTGATATATATACTATATTGTATCCTTTAATTGATGAACATTGCCTATTCATTTATTTATTTAGGTTTGCCTTAATTTTTCTCAATAGTGTCTCATAATTTTTTATGTAGAGTTCTTGCACATCTTTCTCACATTTATTACTAAGCATCTAATTTTTAATGCTTTTATAAAATCATTTTTGAATCATTGCTGGTATATAGACATGCAATTGATATTTGTATGTTGACTCTGTATCCAGTAACCTTTCTATACTTATTTATTTTAATTGTTTAGATGCTTTGGGTTTTCTATATGTACAAGCATTTTTTCTGAAAGTTACAGTTTTACTAATTTTTTTTCAGTGAACACAAAAAGCAACAGCAATTCTGTAATCTCATGTAGATACTGCCTTTCTGAATTGAAGTGTAATTTCTATTGCTTAGTTATTCTAGAAATTGCTTGGCGTCCCAAGTTAGACTGTTTAACAGGTTACCTATAAAAGTAAAACCTGGAAGTCTTTAGAAATTACAGTGTTAGGATAGCAGACATGGAATCAACCTAAATGCCCATCAATGGCAGACTGGATAAAGAAAATGTGGTTCATATATACCATGGAATATTATGCAGCCATAGAAAAGAACGAGATTATGTCTTTTGTGGGAATATGAATGGAGCTGGAGGCTATCATCCTTAGCAAACTAGCATAGGAACAAAAATCAAATACTGCATGTTCTCACTTGTAAGTGGGAGCTAAGTGATAAGAACTTATAAACACAAAGAAGGAAACAACAGATACTGGGGTCTACTTGACAGAGTGGGATGAGGGAGAGGAGCAGAAAAGATCACTGTTGGGTACTGAGCTTAATATCTGCATCATGTAATATGTACAACAAACCCCTGTGACACATGTTTATCTATGTAACCACATGTACCCCTAAACCTAAAATAAAACATTTTTTAAAAAAGAAATTATAGCGTTAGTAAGTCCATTAGGGCCAAAAAGCAACTTGAAGCTGGCTGAGGTGGTTACATATCAAACATAAGAGAATGAAATAGGGTCCTGTACGATAACTGAAGACCAAAGACCAATATGTCATTAGTGCTAAGCATTCCAGTGGCCCACATTTTCTTTACTCTCCTATGCAATTCCCCTTATTAATAAAAAATATCTCTTGTCTTTTGAAATGATTTTCCTCTTGGATTCTATTTTGTCTGATATTAAGATTGCTTTGCTAGTTTCTTTTTGTTAGTTTTTACCTGATAGTTCTTTTCACATCCCTTCATTTTAGCCTCCCAGTGTAATTTTAGTTTAGGTATCAATTTTGTTAACAGTATACAGTTAAATTTTTAACTCCAAACTGAAAGTTGTCATTATTAATAGATTAGTTTAACCCCAATTCACAATAATTGTGTGTCCTGATATATTTGGCTTATTCCTGCCATCTTGTTTTGTATTTTCTAATTACTGTGCTTTCCTTTTGTTTCTCCTATGCAATACCAATAACAGGAAGTAGCATGTTTCAGGACTTGTTAGCTTAGACCTGCCGAATTAAGAAAAACAGGCTCTGCTCTTGAGCCTATTTCTGTTTCTAGAGCAGCACAGGAATATAAACAATGTAAGACACCTTTCCTTTTATGTGCATGTTTGACAACAGTAACACTTGCAATAGAAATCCTCAGTGGCCAGTGCAATCATAACATGAAAAGTTTGAAGATGAGTGACTGCAGTAGATACCTCCTATGCACTACCTTCATTCCTCTCAGCTTCACCTGTGTCTTTTTCCAGCATGGTGGTGATTAGCTCTGGGTGGATTTCAACCGACCTCCTATGGGTGTATCCTTGAATTGCCTTGGCTCACAGCTGCACTAGGTGTCTTTTGCCTTGAAGCTTCCCTGTTAATGCTGAGGCATGGATGCCATATGACCCTCTTGGTACCCAAGCATATCCAGCTAAGATATGTGAGGGAGTTAATTCCCCATAAGTCGAACTTGTAACCAATGAGAGACAGATACTGACAAATTCTTTCACCTCTTCTTCCCATTCAGGTGGACTAACCTGAGACCACTTTGACTTATTGGAGACAGTCCCAGGAAGTTAAGCAATCAATTGCAGTTAGATACGAGTAGTTTGATAACTCATCCTCTTATTGGCTTTCTTTTCCTTTCTGCCTCACTCTTCAGTTCTTTTCTCTTGCCCCCTGGGATTGCACATGTTAATAAATAAGCTTGTGACTTTTTTTTTTTTTCTGGGGGAACAGAGGCTAACAGAGTGATTGTATGGTTTTGGAGAATATGAATTTTTGAGTGACGAATCTAAACTTTTAAACTCTATTTTACATGTGCTAGCATAGCCAACTGTAATAATTAGCTCTTAGTCCTTACTGATACTTCAGGAAATAAAGGGAGGCAAATCAACTCTTGCCAGGGGGGACAAAGGAACCAGCTTGAGCTTTAACCTTTGCTACCAATAATCCACTAAGGGCATGATCCAGAAAGATGGCACTTGGTCCTATTAATTAATTAATTAATTTAAAGGCTTTTCTCCTCACTAACAATGGTAATACCCCTGGATCTTTTTTGTTGTTGTTGTTACTAGCTATCATTTTGTTGCTACGAAGCAATGCTAAAGTGTTCAGCCAAATCAAACATTACCTGTAGAAAGTGTTCCGTCAATATGAGATTGTGATAAATTACGAAAGGTGCAGCTCGGTTTGTCCAGGGCATGCACAATGGGAATGAATAAACTCTGTGTTTTCTCAATTGTGATTCTGTGTCATTGGCTAAGAAGTAACCAGAACTCTGTATCATTATCCACATTTGTCATTGCCCTTTAGGGCCCAGTATGTTGCTGCTGCTGTTGATCTTTGACTTGTTTTGTGCAGGAGGTGGGAAATATTGCTTCCTAATCAGCAATCTTTTGCCCTCAGCTAAAAGGCTGAAGAGTCCAGAAATAAAATAATGGCACAAGGAATTCCAGGAGAGAGTTCCATAGAGCAGGGCCTAAGGAACAGTTAGAATGGGACTCATTTATCAATTACTGAGCATTTATATGTCAGGTACTGTGGTAGGTATGAACTCTCTCTGGTCCTGAAGGGGGTCTCAGTGCCTAGAATATCTTTTGAAGAACATCTCAAAGCATCTGTTTTTCTCCCTCCATGTTAACACAAACACTTTCTAATTCCCTTCATGCCTACTACAAATGTTAGTATGTTCTGCTTTATTTTATTCTGCCTTTATATTTCCTGATATATCCACTGGTATGACAACCAAAGCTTGGACAAAAGATGTTTTATTTAACAAGTTTACCACAAAATATGCTGTGCTTCAGCTAAACTCAACATAGTTCCTTTTTTCACTCCTCAGAAATATGTAGTAAATAAGACAGCAGTGTCTGTGACATGCTGGAAAATTGAAAAAGGTGTTTACATGCTTGTGATTTTTTTCTTTCCATTCTGCTTTATTCTGAGAAAATGCCTCTGTTACTCTTTAGAAGAGACAGGAATGACCAAATTCTTACAGACCTTCATTTATCTGAGAGATATTTGGATTTGATGTACAGCTGGGAACATCATACAGAGGTCTTTATTCTAACCTAAGGGACCCAGTAGCCAATTAATATTCTTTAACTAGAAAGCATGCCCTGAATGTTTACACCTCTCTCTCGCAGTGAAGGGCCTGATGAACAAGGGAAAAAGATAACAAAAAAACCTTATTGATGAAAATCTCCTTTCTTTTTTTCAAGACCACATACGACAAAAGACTTGGGGCCGAGATGCCTCATAAACTCTGCTATCTAGTAGCTGTTGAAATTAGTCTTTAACTGGAAGCAACAAACTGAAATGGTAATTTGTTTATGCTTTTGCTGTTGCTTTCCTCTATTGTCTGAGATAAAGAGCAATTTGTGGGAATTCTCATTTTGTTTGTGAGCTAACTGGGCTGAAAATATTTTTCTAAAACTTGATCAGATTTGTGGGTCAGATCAATATACCTTAGAGGCCAGGAGTGGTGGTGGCTGCAGTACTACTGCACAGCCCTGACCAAACCAAAATGTGGGAACATGAGAGTATCCAAGTTGTGTCAGTTGTAGACTTAGCATTTTTGCTGTGTGGAACATAGCCACACATGTAGTAAACTCTGTTGTAAAAGTTTGTGCTTCTATTTACATTCCTCAGGGTTATTCCCTTTCTCCTTTTAAAGCATCTTTATTTTTAAACTAGGTAAAGATATTTATGTTTTCAATTATAGTTTACCACAATGTGCCCTTCAGTTGTAACTGAGACTAATTGAGTTACTCATTCTCTCAGCTCCAACGGTTATATTATTTAAGCTGATAATGAGTAACTACTCCAAGGATTTCTAGAGGTTTCCACAATAGCAAGATCAAATTTATCCAGGTAAATCTGAATTTCAAATTATAACCTTTCAGATGAAAGTAGCACTTCAGAGATGTTGAATCAATTAACACACTCTCAAGAACGGTAACGCAGGCATTAGTTTGTCCCCACAATGGAAACCTAAAGGAATGGGAGTCCAAGCCAGGTGTGCAAGTTCATTCATTCTTTTCTTTCTTTTCAAATGTCTTTGCCCTGTCACCTTTTCCTTTTCTTCTAAGAAATTTTTGAGCCCAAAGATGGTCAATGAATTTCTTTTTAGTACTGAAAGGATTTCTGAACAACATTACAGGTGACTTTTTTCCTATCTCAATAGGACAAGTGTAGCTGCTACATTTCATTTCATTTCATGCCTTTTTCATCTGTCAGGTGGATTGCTATAATGCCTTAATAGAGTCCTGCTAATTTTCTACTCTTTATCCTTAGTCATGTAGCCTGTGGTGTTAAATTCTTCCTTAGGATTGCATCTCTATTCTTCTGGAGTGTCAGAGTAGAAAGTGAATTCCTCATTAGCACTGTGTGCATTTCACAATCACAGTACCCGTAATATTGCATCTGGAGGTAATAAACAAGTATGTAAAGGACATGGGTTTACTGCTCCAATTACTGAAACCTCGGAAAATGAAACAGTCTAGGCTTTGCGAAGAAAAGGTACACAAGGATTCTAAGGTTGTGATGTAACACTTTTGATGTAATCAATATAGTCAAATTCAGGAATGAGCTTTGAATTTTGTCAACAAATTTAGCATATGAAGTGGTTTGTACATGTGGAGAATTCCTAATATATGGGATAATTGGCCAGTCATACTCCAGTTCTGCACTTAATTGACTTTCACCACCTACGTTGATAGCAATTTAGTCATGATTTCAATTTTCTGGGTTCAGTTTTCTCTGAGTCTTAAATATAGTAGTTAGAAGCATGGGTTTTGGTCACACTGAAGTTTAAGTCCTGTCTAAACCATTTATGCCTCTATAATTTTTGGATGTTAGAGTTGCAGTTTTCTCATCTACATAGAATGGGGATAATGATAACACTAACCACATATGGTTGTATTAAGGATTAATAAGTGAGTAGAACATCATTATCACTTAATATTAGTTACCAAATATTGTTATTGATTTTAATATAGCTTCTCCAACTCATATCCTGAAAACCATAACTATAAATGAAATGTTTATGAGCGTTTGAAAGTACGTTTTTAAGAAAAATTATGATACACGAATATTGCATTTTCCAGTTTCAACTTGTTTCAGAGGGAAACTTTGAACCATGAGTAGTCAAAAAATAGTTACTTACCTAATTCACAGTTCTTTCCTTCAAATCCAAATGGACACCAACATTCATAGGAATTAATGTCATCCTTGCAACTGCCACCATTTAAACATGGATTGGACTCACATTGATCTCCATCTTTGAGATAGGTTAAGAAATTGAATTGGCACATAAACTGCTTAGAATGCCCAGTCCTCCCCTGTAGATACCCATTGGGATGGGAGTCTGATTTTAGGGTCAGAGCAAAACTACTGACCTGGAAGCCAGCTGCCTATAGGCATATGATGCTCCTGTCTTCCTGAGTTTCTAAAAGCCACCCAAACAAAGATCCTTAGGCTGACACTGTCCTAGGAAAGTGCCCTGAGGAAGGCATGTACATAGTTTATGCAATGCAAGGGAAGATGGAGAAGGACGTTTTTGTATAGAAATGTACTATATCAGAACAGGGTGAGGATTTTCAATCCTTCCTTGTAGAATGATGGCAGAGTTAATTCCAAGTCAAATTTAATTGCTTCAACAAATATTATCTCTATGTCACACAAGGCTCTATTGCAGGTCTTGTAGAGCAAACTGAGCTAGATAATATATGGTGTTTCCACTTTAGGAATTGACAGCCTAGGCATGGAGCAAATGAATCTGCTTTCTTGTATTGTCACTTAACTTTGATGTATCATATGCAGTAATAGTTCAAGACAATAGAAAAGATATCAGAAGCATCTGTTACTGCTTAAAGATAGTCTATGTTCTATAAATTAGGTTTCAAATAGTCTAGGTAATGTGAGAGACAGCATTCGATATATCATACAGAATTTAAAAAGATTCCACAGTGTGCTTTATTTATGTATGCATTGGTTATGTTTTCATTATGCCTTTCTTGAAGTTTCTACATTTACTGTGTACTTGAAAGTCTTTGAAGACACCGATGGTAAGAAAACAGGAGGAAGGAATAGGCGAAAGGAGAAAAGTCAGAATGAGAAGGGAACCTTTAAGTCTGGTTTCTTAGTGCTCTGCCTTAATCCACACTTCTAAAGGAGCTTCGGGAGAGAATGATGAATAGAACCAGAAGGGAGATGGTAGGCACTTTGTACTAGAAAAATATCCCTGAAGAAAAAAATGGGAGCTTGATCTGTAAGACTCAATATATGAGAAACAAAGGAGTAAGAAATAAAGATAACAATAAGAATCAAAGAATGAGGGAAAAGGGGGAAACTGAGAAATTTCTAATTATCAGTCATATTTTAGAGCAAATCTCCTTGATATGTGGTGTGTAGATTCCTGCCTGTTCTCCCTCTTCTCTGTCAGAAGTGTGTATCCAGGTTCTGTTGACTAAGAGACTAATATCCCTTTATCATAAATAGTCCCTCCCTGGAAAATTGGCTTGCTGTAAAAATTAGACCTTGTCCCCTTTGCCCCTAGATCTGATATGCTTTTGCACAGATACTCCAATTTGTTCCAATTCTATGAAAACAAAATCTGTTATCTCTGGTTTATTATTATTGATGTTCAGAACTGGCCTAAAAATGAGCTACATTTGCCCTTTATATTATAGACCAACAAATGTGAATTATTCAGGATGTTTTACTGAAAGGGTCTGGGCTTTCAGCCAGCTACACAGGAACTCATTTGCCGAGACATGTCGCTAAAATGAGTGTCATTTTATCCCACATTTGGTTCTCCTTTGGGTTCTTGTCTGTGTGTACTTTGGGTTCAGGCAAAGCCATAGACAGTTGGGGTCAAATACAACAAGAGACAAGACCTTACCAACTGAGAGATTCCTGTTTAAGACTACCAGGTTCCTGTTTAATGAGTAACTGCATTTAGATTTGAAGGCTGTGAGGTGTAATAGTGAAAGCAAGGGGTTGAGCAGTAGAGAATTTGGCTTCTCTTCCAGGCTTCATGACTCCCCAACTAGGTGACCTTTGGCAGTTCTTTTAACTTCCCTAAGCTTCAGTTTACTCTCCTGTGAAATGGAGTTAATAATGCTTTGGTCACAAGGATGGTGTGAGGGTTAAATGTGATAGGCCTTTTGTAAACTGGAAAGTCCTTGACGGATGCTAGCAATGTGGTTCTACAATCATTCTTCTTCAACCAGGCTCTCTATGTGGTGAGTTGATGGTACAGAATAACACAGCAGTGAGAAGCCTGGGTTTCTACTATGTGCGAGAAGAAACATAGGCTAATTTTGTAGTGGTTAGGAATCTCAACTGCAAGTGAAAAGAGGCAGGGAGTTTGTTTCTTTTTTGTTCTTGTTTTTGTTGTTCTATTTTTTGGTTGACGAAGCAGTAGTGAAAGAATAATGCCCTCCATGTTTTCCAGATAGCTATACCTGTGGTATAGCAAACAGCGTGCCTATGTGACCCAAAAGGCAAGGGACCAACTTTAAAATACGATCCTGAGGGTGAGGAGTGAGCAATGAAGGGATTGTAGGAGTTTAATAGTCAGGAATTTTTTGGTGGGGAAAATAGTCATGGATTTACTTTTAGAAATAAATCATGTGATTCAAAGTTCTAAATTCTGCCGGAATGGAGATTCCAAAGACCTATTTGGACTAACTTTAGGGGGCACTTCAGTAGAAGTTGGCATGGTACTTTTCATTTCTAAGATCAAGAAAAGTTAGATAAAACAATGTAACAGAGTCAACTATTTTTCTCTCATGGTTTAAAAACAAAAGTGGAGGAATTATGAGTTACCAGAGTAAAAGAGTGTCCAGTAGTGTCTCCAGAACATAAACTGTAGGAAATAGAATTGAATTTCCAACTGATGGAAGTTGGTGAATTTGATATCTGGATTAATTTCTTTTTATTTATGCAGATAGTCCTAGGTAAGTCAATCTTTGAAACTTACGCTCCCTCAAAATCCTACTGCTGAATTTTAAGTTATTGTAGTTTTAAAATGAGTTGTCATTAAAGTTTTGAGTTTTCCTTCTTTTGGTCAATTCATTTGATAAATATTTACTGAGTACCTCTTTTCCAGATACTGTTCTAGGTGCTAGGAATATATCAATAAACAAAACAATTGAATATCCCTGCCAACATGAAACTTGCATTTTAGTGGAGTAGGAAAAAATAAATGATAAATAGTATGAATAAGAAATTATATGATACATTAGATGGTGAAAAGCTCTGTTAAAGATAGAGTGGGGTACCGTACAGGTGTCTAGAGTGGTAAGGCTACTGGGACAGGTTGAAGTATTAATAGATGGTGAAGGTAGGCCTCATTAAGATGGTAACATTTGGGCAAAGACCTGAAGGAGGTGAGGGAGCCAGCCCACAGGAAGTCGGGAACAGCCAGATAAGAGAAACAGCCAGATAAAGCCTCTAAAGTGGGAGCATTCCTAGAGTGTGCAAGAAGTGACAGGAAGATCAGGGTGGCTGGAGCCCAGTGTGCGAGGAGAGAAGTAGCAGAGGAGGCAAAAAGGGTAATGGGGAGGGTGGGGAAGGACAATCATGGAGGGGTTTGTGGGCCATGATAATGAGGAGGACTTTGAAGCTATAAACATTTAAGTCAATCAGCATTCTCTGATTTTACTGAGGAATGCAAACTTTCATCAGGTCCTAAGACACAATCATTTCAGTCTCTTCCTTCCACCTTCCTGGGGTGGAACAATGTTCTTTGTGAAGACCTAGGGAGGATTAAACTTATTTACCAGCAATAGTTCCCACACTGGCGTAACCCTGTAGTATATCACCATTCAATTTGGGTTAGAGGGTTGGACTGATCTTTCTGGGTTCTTTTGACAAAGTTTAATATATTGTCTATTTATGCAGAGAAAAAACCCACATCCTTCTCAAATGTTGCATATACTAGCTAGAGGATAAAATGAATCGCTTACCAACATACTGCTTCCAAAATTCAGTCTATAAAGAATAAAAGAAGACAAATTAATGGTAATATTTAAAGCGTTTTGGTATTGATTCCCTATCTTTTATAACATTTATAATACATACATATATATGGATGCTTTAAAATTTTAAAGAGAAGTGTCTTTTTAAAGATTTTCTATTCTATGCTCTGCATCTGAAGGATATTATGTGGAAATACTTACTGTTTTTTCAGTGTTTTCAAAAACTTCTCGTGCTTCTTCAAAATTACACTTTTCTTCTATACATTCTCTCTCAAGGTTCCCTTGAACAAACTCTTCCAATTTACCTGAATTATACCTCTTTGGCCGATTCAGAATTTTGTTGGCATTTTCATGATCAAGAAAAACTGAAATGTAAAAGAATAATTCTTTAGTTTTAGCAAAAAAGAAAACATCATGAAAATTTTACATCTCTTAAGAAAGACTTTGTTTTTAATACAAATAATCCCAAAGCCAATTTCTCTTTAGGGCATGGAGCCAAAATCTGTAATGTTCCCACAGTACTGTATACACATGGAGATTTAGGAATTAAAATTCAATTTTACTTTTAGTCAGGAGAATTCCAGTAATAAAAGGTCAGATTGCTAATCGTATTTGAATTTACTTTGGATGAAAAAGAAAGTTCTCAAATGAGCAGTTAACTTCACACTTTGTCATCACTTGAAAATAGCTCATTGCGGATCCTTGCAAGGTGATCCATCACCCTGGCTGGGCTGTTTTCAGAATATGGTTGCCCAAATGACTTTGAATAAATGTCTCCTGAAGAACAGAAGCCTAATTATGGTCCAGCTGCAAATGTGACCCCAATGTCTGTGACTGGATGTTAAAGAAAAACCACTGCATTAATTTGAAAAAGCAATTTCAGATCAACAGCACTGTTGGTTGGCAAGTGTTATAGGAATTGCAGTGATCTGAACATCTCTCTAGAATTCAGGGTGTGGATTTTTTAAGTTACATCTACCTAGTCTGTAGAGACACTCCTGAACTCTGGAGGACTGATGTCTCTATCTGAATTATCTTTCTCCTTCCCTCCCTCCTTCCTCTCTCCTCTGTCTCTCTTTCTCTCTCTCTCTGTATATGTGTGTGTGTATATATACACACACACACACATATATATATATCATATATATCATATCATATATATATATGATAATCATTTGTTGCATAATGACATTTAGTCAATGATGACATTATATAGTGAGTAGTCCCATAAGGTTATAATAGGAATTGCAGTGATCTGAACATCTCTCTAGAATTCAGGGTGTGGTTTTTTAAGCTACATCTACCTAGTCTGTAGAACACTCCTGAACCACTTTAGGATTGATGTCTCTATCTGAATTATCTTTCTCCCCTTCCCTCCCTTGATGTCTCTATCTGAATTATCTTTCTCCTTCCCTCCCTCCTTCCTCTCTCCTCTGTCTCTCTTTCTCTTTCTCTCTCTCTGTGTATGTATGTGTGTGTGTGTGTATATATATACACACACACACATATACATGTGTATATATACATGTATATGTGTATATATACATGTATACATATATACACACATATATATCATATATATGATAATCATTTGTTGCATAATGACATAAATATATATACATGTATACATGTATATATACACACATGTATATATCATATATATCATATCATATATATATGATAATCATTTGTTGCATAATGACATTTGGTCAATGATGACATTCTATGACAGTGGTCCTGTAAGGTTATTATACTGTATTTTCACTGTGCCTTTTCTATGTTTAGATCCACAAATACCACTGTTGCCGTTGCCTACAGTGTTCAGTACAGTCACATGCTGTACAGGTTTGCATCCTAGGAGCCTAGGAGCAATAGGCCACATAAATATAACCTAGGTATGTAGTAAGCTATACCATTTAGGTTTAGGTAAGCACACTCTATTATGTTCGCACAGTGATGAAATTGCTTAATGACACATTTCTCAGACTATATCCCCATTGTTAAGGAATGCATGGCTGTATACACACACACGTGTTTGTGTGTTTTCATGTATATACATATATGTGTGTGTATGTATAAGATTAATAACAGGGACTCAAGAAGTTGCTGGAGTTGTTCCTTTCTTCAAGGGTCTAGCAATATATCTGATACCATCTCAAGAGGACCAAGGGCTTATAAGATGAACTTTCTGGGGTATTTGGGACTGCTTCCTGATTAACTCCAAAAAGGAAGATAAAGGAAAGTAAAAAGGAAAGGAAAGCAACAGAGATGAACTAAACTTTCTTCCCTTATTTTCGTTGCAGCTGTTCACTTTATGGAGTGTTCTAGTCCCTTGACATCCCTGCTTTTCCCTGCCCTTCAAGTTCCTTTTGGGCTCACTTTTTGTCTTTGAATTTAGCCTAGACTTTTTCTCTTCAATATATATATTTTTTTTTTTTTTGAGACAGAGTCTTGCTCTGTTGCCCAGGCTGGAGTGCAGCGGTGCGATCTCAGCTCACTGCAACCTCCATCTCCCAGGTTCAAGCTATTCTCCTGCCTCAGCCTTCCGAGTAGCTGGGATTACAGGTGCCCGCCACCATGCCCAGCTAATTTTTGTATTTTCAGTGGAGACAGGGTTTCACCATTTCACTATGTTGGTCAGGCTGGTGTCAAACTCCTGACCTCAAGTGATCTGCCCACCTGGGCCTCTCAAAGTGCTGGGATTACAGGTGTGAGCCACCATGCCAGGCCTCTCTTCAACTCTTCATTTGCCAAATTTCTCAGTTTCCTTCACTTCTTTGCAATGCTGTGCCTATCCTGCAATCCTAGTCCCTAAATTTGAGCAGCCATCTGCCTTCATCCTTCTCTTCCCAGACAGCCAAGGACTATGAAGGAAAAAATCACTGAACTGCAGATGGATGCCACCACATATTGATGCCTCACAGCCTCCACCCACCTCTCTGCTCAGCAACTCATTTATTTGGCCCTGGACACTCCTAAATAGCATCCATACCTGCATCCATTTACAGTCGTTCCTCAGTATCCATGGAAAATTGGTGGCAAGACCCCCTGCAAATATCAAGATCTGTGGGTGCTCACATCTCTGATATAAAAATGGCTTACTATTTGCATATAATCTAAACACATCCTCCTTTATACTGTAAATCATCTCTAGGTTTCTCGTAATAGCTAATACAATGTAAATGCTATGTAAATAGTTGTTATGCTGTATTGTTTAGGGAATAATGAAAGATAAAAAAGTCTGTACACATTCAGTAGAGATGCAGCCATCCATTTTTTTCTTGAATATTTTTGATCTGCAGTTAGTTGAATCTGTGGCTATGGAACTCACAGGGAGAACTGACTGTACAGTGAGGTTGAGTGAAAAAACAGACTTTAGAATCAGATCAGACAGAAATAGGTTTGAATCAAGTATCTGCCTCCTCTAGACCTGTGACCTTGGACAAGTCACATAAGCTCTGAACCTTAATTTTGTCAACTGTAAAATAGGTTTAACACTAGTATAATAAGAATATCTACCTCACAGGTGTTGACAGGATCGGTGAGACAATATGCTGGTTATCTCTTTTTCTCCCTACTCCTTTCATGTTGGCCCTACTTTCTTCCATTTTAAATTTCTTAATTCTCTTTAGCTCTTTAATAACTTTTGTATAGCTCTTTTCCTTCCTTAATCACATTTATATAATGAAATGACTATTGTCACGATCCGAAATGACCTAAAGAATAATTTTGAGTTTATGTATTTACTGGCTGCTCTGAATATTTTCTAATTGTTGATCTCTCCCTTTTTAGGAAACTCTTTTTATAATAATCACTCTATTCCAGTTCCCCTCTTGGCTGTAACTCCTGTTATCCATCCAGCACTTGAATTGATTAACTCCTGTTCCTCTCCATGGCCCTTAGAAGTCCAAGGTTCTCCCAGGCTCCAGCCTCAACTTTTTCCTTTTTCCTTTTTCACTTTATACATACTTGCCAGCACTGGGACAAGAGTGAACTAAACAAGGCACATAGGGCACAATATTTAAGAGGTCCTCACTTCTCGGGGTGTACAAGTATATTTATGCCCTACAGGCCTTGCTTACCACACCCTAGTCCGGCCCTGACCCTGTTAACAAAATTTACTGAGCATACAACCACTACTGCCAGGCACTGTACTAGGCATCACAGTATCCATGCTCACTCTCTAGGTGCCCACACACGTGGCTGTAACTACTGTTTACAGAACACTGAGTTCCAAATACTCATCTATAGTCAGATATGTCTCCTGAATTTCAGATTATCTTTCCAACTCCCTCACCGATTGTCATAATGTAGCCAGTAATAGCTGATGTATATGTAATGCTTCTGCTGTGTTGGACACTGTGCTCAGTAACTTTGCATCCATTATCTCACTTCATCCTCACAAAAGTCCCACGAGATAGGCACTATCATCTTATTTTTATAAATGAAGAAAACTGAGATTCATAGAGGCTAAGGGCTTTGCCCAAGGTAACATACTAAAACATCAGACCCAGGATTCAGACTCTGGCAGTCAGACTAAAGAGCCAGTTCTCCTAGACATTATACTGAGGCCCATAATCACATCAAACACAAAATGCCCAAGACTCTAGCCGTTTCTCCTCCCATACCCAGATGGTTAAGTCATACCACTTCTACTTCCTTAATATCATTTGAACTCCCCTCTTTTTTTGTACAGGTACTGTTCAGGTTCCAGCCTTTATGTCTCCCGTAGATAATTGCAATAGTCTCAAGACTGCTCTCTCCTAGTCTGGGTACGGCCTCCCTCCCCAGCTATCATTTCATTAGAGTGTTGCCAGACTGGGCATCCTAAATCAGCCATCAGTCGCACTCCTTATGTTTATACTTTGGTACCTCCATATTGCATTTTATTGCCCAGTCTCCTTAGGTTAACGCCTTCATTATCTGATGACCAGCTCTGCCTAGTTTACCTGCCTCACTTGTCATACTCCATATGGAACCATACAAAACTCCTGAAATACCTCATGTTCTTGCAGATCTGAGTCTTTGCACATGAGTGATCCTCTTTGCATAAAATGCCCTTATGTCAGACATTTAAAGAGAGAGAACACCTCATCTTTTTAGACCCAGATGAAAATACTTTCTCTCTATCAAGTGTGTCCCCATTTAATATGTCCTTTTCTCTATGATCCCTTGGTAACTGGTGCACATTTTATCACATTATATTGAAACTTCTCACCTGACCTCATGGTGCTTTAGATCAAAGAGGGAGTCTTGTTTGTCCCCATACCCTAATACCCTGACACAGTACCTGGCACCGCAGTTGTAACTCAGTAATGTCTGAATGAATGAAGGACATCTTTGATGCATACACTTTACAAAACTAAACTGGTTTTACAGAACTGTTTTAATTTCAAAATTCCAAACTGTTGCAATAATACCTAAAGGCAGCAGCCATGAAAATGCAACATCTCAGCAAATCACTCACAGAAACTCCTTTTAGAAGCCAATGAGAGTTTTAATAGCAGAAGAGAGTGCTGCATTAATACTGTCCATCCTTAGAAAAATTCCATTGGCTCCCTCCTCAAGGGCTTATTATCTCTGGCTACAATGGCTGCAGAATCACATTGCCTTTCTCCTTAGTATTGTCTGGGGATCATATATTTAACTTCTCTTCAGGTTTATCTCTAGTCATTATTTCCCTTGCTCCAAAAGCCTGGTTCATCTTTATTCTTATCTATCCTTTCCCCAGCATCTGAAATCTTCAAGGAGGCAGAAGCCCTCTACCTTGATCATCTCACCACTTCTATAGAAGAAAGGGTTTGGATCCTTTGTCCTCCCAGATGTCACACTAATGAGATATGTCTAATGACCTTGCTTTATGTCCTGCTTTGTGAGTTTTCCAACAAATTTTCCTTATCCCTTGACTTTACTCACTTTGCTAGTTTAACCTCTATTTTTTTAATCATTATTTCAGCATTTCAGTCTGATTTCACAGCTGACATCATGTCTGGAGTGGGAACCACAGGGCCAGTCAGCTTTCTGGGGGTGCTTAGGGTTGGCACCCCTGATCTTGGTACTGTCAGCTACTAGATTTGATTCTAGAAGGTTGACAAGTAAGTGTGATAAATGCTTCCTATGAGAACATGCTGTTTGTCCAAATGGGATAATTTCTTCCCCATATGCCTTCCTCTGGGGAATATATAAAGTCACTGTAGTTGTGAAAAAACAAAGTGATATATGTTGCATTAGCTAACTTCCTACTCTTCATGTCAATTCTTAGACTTGCTTTTCTCCCCTGGGGAACTCAACTGAGTATTGTGTTTCCCCAAATATCAACTCCAAGATGTTTTACATAGAGACAAAATGATTTTTTCCTAATCCACGAAAAGTTTTGGTGATAACTAACAGCTTGCTAATGAAAGGTTAATCTTTATGTTTTAACTAAAACTTTAAATTGAAGATATATATTTTAAAAAATTAGAGACATACCTCATTACTTATCTAAAACCTTGAAATGTCATGTATCTTAAAATCAGACTTTTTGTGTAAATAAGACCATTGTGCTTTCGTTTCCTATTTTGATTTCAAAGTGGTAAGTCCAAACAAAAAATAATGTGGTTAATTTTTTCACTGTATTCTGCTATTTCTTTGTTTTCCCACTTTTGATTTTTTTAAATCAAGGAGATGAATGTTTTCTAACAGGAATTACATGACCAAATCATAAACTGAACAGTGTTTGTTAAACATAAATGCATCATAAGCATTGTCAATCTGTTTAGTTTTAAAAATGAAGAAGAAAACCTAGCTAACAAAGAACCAGTACTTACCAACCTGCATGCTGGCTGCTAGACTCTTCAATATTGCTGTCAAACTCATGTAATCAAAATTTAGTGAAGAAGACAGCATCAGATATTTCTATATCTAAAAGGCAAGCATACTCAATGTATTTTAAAAAAGGAAACAAACCTGTACATTCAGCACTGAGTAGATATCCTAAAAGGCAGATGGTGATGAGGCCTGGTGATTCTGCCATGATCATGTTCACACGCTGCATAACCTTTGCTAGCTGATTGTGCAAGTGGTAAGGTCGATTAGTTGTACCAAAGTACAAGCTGAGCTGTATTTACTTCTGGGAAATAATGTCCATCTCCCTCAATGGGTCTTTGGACTATTTCCAATGGCCTCTTGGGACAAGTGAAGAGAATGGGCAGTCGTCATAATTAAATTTCACCTCTGACTTTGTGGGCTTCTGCCACTGTGGCTGATTTGAGGCTGAAACAGGAAGTGATACATCTTCAGAATGGAGATAGGCATAGTGGCTACATTTACTGGGGCAGCACAGTTCATCACTGGGACACGTCTTGTCTTTGTAAGAGATCACTGATGTTTGCCAGAATGGCTGTACCACTTTACATTTCCATCAGCAACGTATGAGTGGTCCAGTTAGTTTATTTTTTTTATTTTATTTTTTTATTTTTTTATTTTTTGAGACGGAGTCTCGCTCTGTCGCCCAGGCTGGAGTGCAGTGGCCGGATCTCAGCTCACTGCAGCTCCGCCTCCCGGGTTTACGGCCAGTTAGTTTATTTGATTTTTTTTTTTTTTTTTTTTTTACTGTCAGATTCTTAAGGTTGTTTATATATTCTAGATATGAGTCCTTTCATAGATATGTGGATTACATATATTGTCTCCAGCCTGTAGCTTGTCTTTTGTTCCCTTAATTAGGTCTTTCACAGAGCAGAATTTTTTAGTTTTGATGTAGTCCAGTTTATTTATTTTTTTATTTGATGGATCACTTTTAGAACTCTTCCACTAACACTAGATCCTGATGATTTTTTTCTAAATGTTTTACAGTTTGAAGTTTTAGATTTATGCCCATGCTCCATTTTGAGTTAATATTTGTGTAAAGTATGACATTTAGGTCCACCTTCATTTATTTTTTTTTCCATAGAGATGTCCAATTTACCCAGCACAATTTGTTAAAACAAAAAATGAAAAAACCACCCCATCCTTCCTTGATTGAATGGCTTGTGAAATTTTTTCATAAGTCAGTTAACCATATTGGTTTTGGGTTGACTTCCAGTTTCTCTATCTATTCTTTGTGCCATTGATGTGTTTATCCCTCTGCCAATACCACACTGTCATAATTATTCTAGCTATATAGTAAGACTTTATAATAGGTAGAGTGATTCCTCCAACTTTATTCTTCTTTTGGTAAGATGTTTTTAACTGTTCTAAGGGCTTGTATAAATTTTAGAATGATCTTATATGTATCTAAAGAGATACTTACTGGGATTTTTATAGGAATTATGTAAAACCTGTATGTCAATTTGGGAAAATCGATACCTTCAATGTGTTGAGTTTTTCAATCCAGGAACATAACACATGTGTCTCTTCACTTATTTTGGTGTTTTATTTCTTTCATCAGCTTTTTGTAATTTTTAACATATATATCCTATAGATGTTTTAGTAAGTGTATACATAAGGATTTAATTTTCTCTGGAGTAATTATGAATGCTATTGTGTTTCATTTTAAGACTTTATTTTTTTTTAGAGTGGTTTTAGATTCACAGCAAAATTGAGTGGAAGCTACAGAGATCTCTCATATACCCTCTGTCCCCACACATGCACAACCTCCTTCATTATCAACATGCCTAGCCAGAGTGGTCCATTTATCACAATTGATGAATCTTCATTGACACATCATAATCACTCAAAGTCAGTTGTTTACTTTAGGTTTCATTATTGGTATTGTCCATGCTAAAGGTTTGGACAGATGTATAATGACATATATCCATCATTATAATATTATACAGAGTAGTTTCACTGCCCTAAAAATCCTCTGTGCTCTACCTTATCTCCCCACAACACCTGGAAATCACTTATCATTTTTACTGTCTCCATAGCTTTGACTCCTTCAGAAAGTCATGTACAGTTTGATGAAGATACATTCGGAGCAATGTGTCATTAGGCAATTTCATCACTGTGCAAACATCGCAGAGTGTACTTACACAAACCTAGATGACATAGCCTACTACACAACTAAGCTATATGATAGCCTATTGCTTTTAGGCTACAAACCTGTACAGCATATTACCATACTGAATACTGTAGGCAATTATAATATGATGGTATCTGTGTACATAAACAGAAAAAGTACAGTAGAAAGAAAAGAAAAAATAGTACACCTGTATAGGGGACTTATTAAGAATGGAGCTTGCAGGACTGGAAGTTGCTCTGGGTGAGTCCGTGAGTGAGTGGTGAGTGAATGTGAGGGCCTAGGGCATTACTATACACTACTGTAGATTTTTATAAACACTGTCCTCTTAAGCTACACACCAAATTTCTAAAAAATGTTTAACCTGGCCAGGCGCGGTAGCTCACGCCTGTAATCCCAGCGCTTTGGGAGGCCAAGAAGTGGGTGGATCACTTGAGGTCAGGAGTTCGAGAGCAGTCTGGCTAAGGTGGTGAAACCCCCTCTCTACTAAAAATACAAAAATTAGCCAGGTGTGGTGGCACACACCTGTAGTCCCAGATATTCGGGAGGCTGAGGTGGGAGAGTTGCTACAACCCAGGAGGCAGAGGTTGCAGCGAGCCGAGATCACGCCATTGCACTCCAGCCTGGGCAACAGAGCGAGACTCTGTCTCAAAAAAAAAAAAAAAAAAAAAGTTAACCTTAGTTTACAGTAACACGTTTATTTTATAAACTTTTTAGTTTTTAAACCTTTTTGACCCTTTCATAATAATACTTAGTTTAAAGCATAAACATATGGTACAGCTGAACAAAAATATTTTCTTTCTTTATATCTTTATAAGCTTTTTCTATTTTTATTAACTTTAAAACTTTTTTAAAAACTAAGACACAAGAAAACATATTGGCTTAGGCCTCCACAGGGTCACGATCATTAATATCACTGCCTTCTACCTCCACACTTGGATGGTCTTCAGGAGCAATAACATACATGAAGCTATCATTTCCTCTGATAACAATTCCTTCTTCTTGGATACCTCTTGAAGGACCTGCCTGAGGCTATTTTACAATTAACTCTTTTTTTTATAAGTAGAAGAAGTATACTATAAAATAACAATAAAATATAATATATTAAATACACAAATCAGTAACATAGTTTTTAGTTATCAAGTATTATGTAGTGTACATAACTGGGCTATATTTTTATACAACTGATAGTGCAGTAGGTTTCTTTATACCAGCATCACTACAAACACCTGAGTGATGTGTTGTGCTACAATGTTACAACAGCTATGATGTCATTATGCAATAGGAATTTTTCAGCTCCATCATAATCTTACGGGACCACTGTCATATAGCATTCTGTCATTGGCCAAGATGTTATGTGGTACATGACTGTAGTTGAAATCACATACTATGTAGCCTTTCCAGATTTTCAGATTGGCTTCTTTCAGTTAGTAATACGCTTTTAAATTTTACCCATGTCTTTTCATGGTTTGATAGCTCATTTCTTTTTTAGCCCTGAATAATATTCTATTCTCTGAATGTACTAGAGTTTATTCACCTATTGAAGGACATCTTGGTGGTTTCCAAGTTTTGGCAATTGTAAGTAAAATTTTTATAAATGTGTGCATGTTTTTGTGTGGATGTATGTTTTCAACTCCTTTGAATAACGTGGAGTGAGATAGATGGATTATATGTTAAAAGTATGTTTAGTTTTGTGAGAAACTGCCAAACTGTCTTCTAAAGTGGCTGTTCCACTCTGCATTCTCACCAATAAGTGAATAAAAGCTCCTGTTGCGCCACATCCTCATTAGCATTGTGTTGTCAGGGTCCTGGATTTTGGTCATTCTAATAGATATATAATGGTATCTCATTGTCATTTCAATTTGCAATTCCCTGATAACATATGATGTAGAGCATTTTTTCATATACTTCTTTACCATCTGTGTTTCTTCTTTGGTGAGTTGTCTGTTAAGTCCTTTGGCCCATGTTACATGAAAATAACTCATTATTTTCTTATTGTTAAGAGTTCTTTGTATGTTTTTGATAACATTCCTTAACCAAATATAGCTTGGGGAAATGTTTTCTTCCAGTCTGTGGTTTATATTTTCGTTCTTTTGACAGTGTGTATCATAGAGCAAAAAAATTTTAATTTTAATGGACTCTAATGTATCATTTTTTTCTTTCATATATCTTGCCTATGGTGTCATGTCTAAAATGTTATAACCAAACACAAGGTCATCTAGATTTTTTTCTTATGTTATCTTCTAGGAGTTTTCTGGTTTTACACTTTACATTCAGGGCCGTGATCCATTTTGCATTAATTTTTGTGAAGGGTGTAAAGTTTGTGTCTAGATTCATTTTTTTTTCATGTCCAGTTCCACACCATTTGGTGAAAATACTATCTTTTATCAATTTTATTGTCTTTGCTCCTTTGTCAAAGATCAGTTGATTATATTATAAGGGTCTGCTTCTGGGCTCTCTATACTATTCTATTGATCTATTATATTTGTATATTCTTTTGCCAATATCATACTGTCTTAATTACTGTAGGTTTATATAAGTCTTGAGGTCTGGTAGTGTCAGTCCTCCAACTTTGTTCTTCTCATTCAATATTGTACTGGCTATTCTGGGTCTTTTGCCTCTTCATATAAACTATATAATCATTTTGTCAATATCTGATATGGTTTGGCTCTGTGTTCCCACGCAAATCTCATCTTGAATTGAAATCCTCACATGTGGAGGGAGGAAGTGATTGGATGATGGGAGTGGTTTCCCCCATGCTGTTTTTGTGATACTGTGTAGTTGAGTTCTCATGAGATTTGATGGTTTTATAAGCATCTGGCGTTTCCTCTGCTTGCCCTTCTCTCTCCTGCCACTATGTGAAGAAGGTCCTTGCTTCCCCTTTTCCTACAGCCATGATTATAAGTTTCCTGAGACCTCTATTGCCTGTGAGCCAATTAAACCTTTTTCCTTTATAAATTACCCAGTCTCAGGTATTTTTTTTTATAGCAGTGTAAGAATGGACTAAGACATTAAATTGGTACCAGAAGCGGGGTACTACTATAGAGATACTTGAAAATG